CTGTTAAGGAAGAGAAGGAGAAAAAAAAAAAAAAAGTCTATACTGTGTTTATAGTGGATTTCAGTTTCACCTGGTAATTGTTAATTAATTAATAGCAAATGGAAAGACAAAACATAGTTGATATTCTACATCCATCCAAGCAAACAACTCCACTAGCATTCAATAAATGATACACTTTTTTTAGTGAATATGGTACCTGTGAAATGAAATAACAGGTTCACTGGCTGAGAAGCCAAAGGTCTCCGCTGACCCACATCACACCTGCATCAACAGGGAGAGCAAAACGATTTGCCTGCTAAAATAAAATAAAGTAAACACCTCTGGGAAGTGAAAAGGCAATTCTGCCAGAAAAGCCTTGGCATTTTTGCCAGGACTGCAGCTAAAATTGGTGGGAAATGCCAGACACAGCAACGTCCAACCTACCGTGAGTCCAGTCTGCATCTAGACTTAGCCCAGCAAGTGGCTTCATCACAGGTCAATGAAAGGCAAGACAGAAAGACTGTTTGTTCTTTAATAACATGGGCAAAACACGCACCATGACATGGAAGTGGGTTGTCTTATCCAGCTCTCCTTGCCTGATTTCTACAATGATCCACTGAAAAAATTAATCACCAATTAGGAAAAAAAAACCCAAACCTAGGTGAAAAGGATTGAGTTGCATCCATTCATAGGATAAAAGTAACTACCCCCATTTTTTTTCACAGGTCAAGTAATGAACACTGAGATGGGGAAACTGAGGCAGAGCTGCTTATGGCCTTCCTGAGGTACCACAGACAATATTAGACACCACTGCTCTTCCATCCAAGGTCCATGCTGAAGAAACCCCTTCCCAACACAGGACACACTTGCACAGTTGCACTGAAGCCACTAAACTCATAGTTGTAATATATGAAACGTAATATTTTATGCAGATTTGAGTTTTACTATTTGATTTAAAGTGGTATTGAATTATGCTCCTCACCCAGGAAACACTTGAGTGAAGCTCCTTCATTCAGACACGACTCTTCTAAATTAACACAGAGAGGACTACATGCACGGCCACCATGGCATCCTCACTCCAAACGCCTGCCTGTACCTCAAGTTAATTTACCCAAATATTATTAACTCACATGCCTTTCTGTGTGATTATGGTTCTCCCAGATAAGTAGAGACATTTAAATTTTCCGTTTCCTTGTAATTTCCAAATGTTTACACACTACAGCCTGTTTATGGAACTGTTTACTAAAGGCAACGCTTGTGCCACTTTATCAACCTCCTCCACAGTTCTTCAGAGTTTTACTCCATCACAGCTCCTTTCTGGGCTGTGAAGAAACCACTCCCTTCCCTCTTTGTCAAAACAAATATTCCTAAACACCAGAATCATCCACTTCACCCTGTGATGGAGCACCTTTAAACACAAACAGACCCTTTTTTCTTCAGAATCACTACAACACACAAACAAACACTGTGGACTTTACTGCAGTTGCACTCTTGACTAATTGCTTTGATGACTTTTCACTGAGCCCCTCTATTTCCTTTTTTAAGTCAGCCATTGAAATGCATATTCTTTGATTTAGCATATTATTTTCATGTTTATCTACACTAAGTTTCATTTTCAAGCCACTGCTCAAATCACCTAGGATATCGACCTTTTTCCCGCTGCTCACCATCACTTGGTGGAGCTGCTCTGGAGATACAACCAGAAAAAGCTGAATCGCATTCAACAGCCTCATCCAAATCCTATGGAGGGTAACCAAATGAACCTGAGTTAAACCATTCCCATCTCAGCGACTTAGCCACCCTCAGATTCTCAGAGCATAAAAGTATCAATTCAGTGTGGCTGAATTCCATACCTATATGCTCTTAACATTTATGTTGTCATTTTGACCGTCTAAGCTGAATTATAGACCTAAAACTGGCCGGTGGTGGCTCCTCTGAAGTACGGACACGTCCCCGTGGGGATATACTTCTATGCATTTATGCATGGGAAAAGCTGAAGGAGAAATAGGTTAAGGGATTTGCCCAAAATCACTGAGTCTGTGACTGAATCGAGAAGACCTATTTACCAAATCAAATTTAACAAACAGATTTTGAAAAAATCATTGCCGTTCAGAAGAATTGCTTGAGGTGTGAGAGGTCGGACTACCTTGGCAGGCTGTGTCCCCTGTCTGTCTTTAATCTCCCAGCCAATCATCCACTCAATGCACTATTTCTGTTTCTGAAGACGTTTTCTCCTTAGTTTTCAGCCCTTATAAATCTGATCCGTCATTGCAGAATTTCTAATAATATTAGATAAAACTTCACCGATCTCTCTCTGGAATAAACTATTTAATATCCTTTATTTAAGACATGTGTGTGCAATCAATTGCGTGGTATTTACTTGTATTACACACACAGTATCCATCATCTTGACAATTTTTAAAAGTTTTAGAACACCATTTCACTTAACAGTTTAAAAAAAAAAAAAAAAAGAAAAAAAAAAAGAAGAGATTTATTTGATGGTTAACTTTGGAACAAGTTATCTGCATTAACTTCCATTGTTTTGGCATAAAGTAGTTCTGTATATTTTACTAACAACAGTGGAGACATGATAAAGGATGTAGGCAGAGAGCCATAAACAGCTCTCGCTGCAACCCACAGTGTTCGTGTAAAAGCATTAATTTTTTTGGACTTTGATTGGAAGCCATCTCTGCGCTCAGCCACTTGGATTTTACTAAATACAACCGCGCATAAAATGCTGTACCTGAACAGAACAATTTTAACTGCGGAGAGACCGTTGTAAATCATACGTAGTATAAACTTGTCCACATGATTGGAATGATATAATGGATATTGTAGTCCCTAACCACCAGCTAATGTTCTTTATGACACTTAAATAAATGACCTGAAAATAAACTAATAATAACACGAAATCTTCTAAACCTGTTCATGTGCATTTCCCAAATGCATGCTGGAGGAAGACAATGTCTAGTTAGCACATTTTTTTGTGTTTACATTTTCTCCAGAATGTTTTTACTCCAGCTATTCTAGTTTTCCTTTTCCAACCTCACATTAATTCATCTTTTCTGCAGCCTTCCAGACAGAGTCATCTCTCCATCCAGTACCTGCCCAGATCTTGCTCATTTATAACCATCAAGAGCTTGCAGGATTTCTACATCTCCACTCAGAAGTCTATAACCTGGAGAAAAAAACAAGTGCTCCAGTGTTTTACTTGGAGCCAGTATCTACTCCCACAAAGATCATCAGAGTTCTTTTAATCCTTCTCTGAATTTCAGAAGACGCAACCTCAGAGAGACTGGTTATGAAATAGCAGAGCTGGGGAAGGAGAAGACATAGGCTTAAAAGATTAGATATAAGGAAGAAATTTTTTACAATGGGGTAGTGAGACACTGAACCAGGTTGCCCAGAGAGGTGGGAGATGCCCCATCCCTGGAAACATTCAAGATCAAGTTGGACGGGGCTCTGAGCAACCTGGTCTAGTTGGAGATGTCCCTGTTCATGGCAGGGGGGTTAGACTAGATGGCCTTTAAAGGTCCCTTCCAACCCAAACCATTCTATGACTCCAAAAAACAAGGTAGAGAGCTACCACAGCAGATCATCAGGATTTAGTTATCAAGAAGGATGCACCATTTTTCTCAACCTTAGTTAGAACCCACACTAGTCACGTTAAGAAAAATGCCATAGCGTTCTATTTTTAATATGGGAGAAGGATTTTATTGTTATTATTAACTTGTGGTCGTGTAGTCTTGTGCACATGAAACTTTCCAGAAAAAATTATCACCAGATCATACAAATATTAACACTTTCAACAGATTCCACAAAGTACTGCCCCTCGTATTTAAAAAAACATGGAAAATGTTTTACTTTTATGCATAACTCATATATATTTAAACACTGAAAGTTCAGAACAAACAGTGAGAGACTTAGATATCTAATTTTAGCACCACGACTTGTTTTCAAAACTTTTCAAAACTATTTTGCTTTTATTTATTCAGATTTTTGAGGATCTCTGACACTTTCAACAGCCAATTTTAGAACTTTAAGTAGACTTTAAAAAGAGTAAGCCTTGAAAACTCTCCCTTTTTGCATACTGGGTATAGATGTTTAGTTAAAAAGATCGGTTAAAAATTAAACTAAGTTCATCTATAATAAAAATTCCATATGCTAAAAGTCAGAGTATCAATCTAAATATTTGCCATTTTGAATATCAGATTTTCTTAAACTCCCCAATCTATATATTATATATTTTCTTTCCATTTCTGCCATGAAACCCTGCTCTGTGAATTTTCCTTGAAGCAGACATGTGCATTTTCCCCATGCTCTTTGGTAACATGTTGCCATGTTACATCGTACGTGTTTATTCACGGCGCTTCATTTGCCCCCGTGAAAAATTACTTCTGGGATTTGGTTTCTCCTCGTGGCACCCAGAGTCACTTTGTGCACCATTTTATTAAGAACAACAACAAAATAAAGGATGGAAGGGGCCATGATGTCACTGCTCGATGAATAGAAACCACATTAGAAAGACTAACGAGTGCTGGTTTAGCTTAGATCAAATTATATGGGCAAGTTCTGCCTCTTGTGTACTGGCTTGAATACTTGTTCTCAACGAGCAGGAATAATTTCTAAGAATTGCTATAAGCTAAAAAAAATTTTGACTTCATAAAAACTGGCCCTTTTGCAACATTATTTACATTTGCAAGTTAAAGATAATCCTGAATGTGCCATGGATTTTGGGGGGATTTTGGGTTTTTTAATTTTTTTTTTAAATTATATTGCCATTAAAAAGTTTAAAACCAACAAAAGGAGCTAGTCCTAAGCAGATACATTTAGAAGCCTTACCCAGGCCCTGGAGCTGGAGCATGCACATTTCAGAACTGCCTCGTTTCCCTCGTCACTGATGCACCGTCACGGCATAACTTACAATTCAACAAACTCACCCTCTGACAATTTCCTTTTTCTTTCTTTAAACAGGAGCACAATTGTCTCTTTGTTAATGGTAATATTTTTAGGAGGATTTA